TGAGATTAATGAAAGGTTGGGCATATGGCACCGTCCTCCTCGCAGAGCGTGGGGAGGAGCTTCACCCGGGTCATCGCGCTCTCGGGTTGCTCGTCCATCAGCGCGAAAGGGTCGAAAGCGAGCTCGCCCTGCACGGGCTGTCCCTCCTTCCGGTTCGCTACAGGATTTCCATCCGGCGCCGTCCACTCCTCGATAGGATCCAGAGGCACAAGCATAACAATATTCGCAGCACGCCTATTTGGATCCACTTGTACACTCTCACCAACACACACACACATGCGCGCGCACCCACCACTCATCCACAGACCACAACAGACACAGAGAAAAAACGCACACATACACACACACACACACATACACACACAACACCCCTGTCACAGAGCGCTGCGCAGCGTACCACCGTGTCGAATCTAGCCGTGGGCGGGACGAACTACCCAAGAAGATGGTGTGATCGTATTAGACATGCCGCACAGTGGGGGTAAGACCATACAAATTTCGGCTGCGCTAGCCCGAAGCTGCAGATTGAGAGGTGGGGGGGGCAGCACTGCAAATTGCAGATAAAAGGAACGGGGTAGGACACGAGCAGTAGTGAGGCCCGTAGCACCAACACGTTTTAAACTTGGCTTGCGAACTACGAGCCGCCTGAAGAATTGCAAGTCTTCTAATAAGAATATGGGGCTGGTGGGACACCCCGCGGGACCAAGTTTGCCCGTGCGCATGCCGGTTGCACAGTGGGGGTCGCGCGTGTAAACTAACACGATGGACTTGCTCGGTAGAGCCCTACAACCCTACAACCCAAGATGGCCCTCTAGACCGCCTCCAGGTCCCAAGGAGACCTCAAAGGGGCCCCTGAGAGGGCCGCAGATGCCCTCAAGAGGTCTCCAGGAGGCCCTCGAGGGGCCTTCAAATGACCTCCAAGAAGCCACGAAGAGGCCTCCAAGTGGCCCCAAGAGGCCTTCCAAGAGACCCCAAGAGGCCTCTAACAATCCGCGCGTCCACGAGCTAATTAGGCACAGTGCCAGAGTAGTCCGAAGCCGAGGGCTTGTGCACGTGCCTTGTGCACTCTGAGGCGTGTGAGAATGATCCTCTGCTGTCTGATAAAATGTCTTTAAGTGTTTTGCGTGGCCGACCCCATCCCCCCATCCTGACCGCCACTAGAAAACAACCCGCCCTCTCCAGAGCCGATGTTGGATCATTCCCCAAAACAAACTACTGTTTGGAAACACCTTTTTCCAAAAGAGGTCCTGGCCGAGGGGATTCAAAGCAGGCAAAAACAACCTAAACTGCTGAAGACATCACAAACACCAAGAATGATAAACAACACAACCAGAACAGCCAAAAAACGCCCCTAGACAGCCAAACTCGCCCCAAGACTCACAACGCCTCCAATGCGGTCCCCATATGCCCCAAGAGTACCCAAGAGGCCCCAACACTACCCAAGAGGCCCGATACAGCCCAAGAGGGCTCCAAGCTCCAAGAGGCGGCCCTCCAGGCAAGCCCAGAGAAGCAAAAATCATGAATCCCCCATATGCTTTTCAATGTTTTTCGCGCTCCCGCCGTCTCGCGATAGCGACAAACCAAGACGACACCTGAGGACTCCAAGGAGGGACGAGAGGGCCCCAACACGGCCCAAGATGCCCCCAAGAAGGCTCCAAGAGGACCGCCAGACAACAGAAAGCGCTTCAACAGAAAGCGCTTCAAGAGAACCCCAAGACAGTTCATAGAGCCCCAAAACAACCCAAATAGGCCCCCGATATAACCCAAGAGGGCTCCAACAGGCCCTCCAGGAGGCCTGAAAAATGCAGAAGCATATAAATCGCACGTGTTGTTTCAATGTGTTTCGCGTTTCCGCATTTTCACGATTTCGCATCCAAGACGGCCCAGGAGGCCCCAAAGATGACGCAATAGGCCCTCACGAATGCCCCAAGAGGGCACAAGACGGACCAATAGGGTCTGGAGACGATCCAAGGGGGTCTCAAGATAGCCCAAGATGGTCGCACGTGCTCCAAGAAGCCCCCAAGGCGCGCCACAATGGCCCCAAGAGGACGCCGAAGACGCCATCAAAAAGCGCGATCCTGGATCACCCATTAGCCTTTCAAAAAATGAACCACCTCGTTTTGGCGGGCTTCCGAACGTCCAAGAGGGTCCAGAGGGCCCCAAAGAAAGACCCAAGACGACCCTAGAGACCCCCACAGTGGCCCCAAGACTAGCGAAGATGGCCTCAAGGCGACTCGAGAAGCCCAAAACAGGCCCAAGGCAGCCCAAGAGACCTCCCGGAGCGCCCCAAGAGGGCCCCCGGAAGGCCCCGGGATGGCCCTAGGGGCTCTCGTTTCTACGAGCTCCCGAACGCCCAAGTTTCCCCAAACAGCCCCCCGCGGCACGCGCGCAGGCGAAGCCTGCGGTCGTATCCGGCGCACCGCCGCACACCGGCCCGAATGGGCATCGCAACCAGGAAGCCCCAGGCGACCGGCCAACGGTGGGCCCCAGCCTCGCACGGCATTCCGAGCCGATACCGGCAACAGTGGCGACGACAGGGCGGACGCCGAGGGCAGAGGCGGCGGACCACGCGAAGCGTCGACGGCGGGCCCCCGCCCAGCCACCCGTCCGGGCCTGCGGCGGGCGCGCTGCCAGGAGGGGAGAGACGCCTTTTTTTTCCTCGGGCCCAGTGGCACTGCAGTGCCTCTAAGGGGGCGCGTTTGCGCCGCAGGCCAGTGCCGAATGCAGCCTGCGCGCTGCAATACGCTGCCAGCGGGCACCGATGCTGCCGGCGGGCAACACGACACCCCCCCCGAAGGAGGGTGGACTGCGACAGCGCCAAAAATGGTCAGGGGAGAGCGGGGCTGCAAAGCACGCAGCGCCACACCACGCCTGCACCAGGACGCGCAGAAGGAATCCAGGGAGTCCGTGGCCGGGATGATGGCTGCCAGGAAAAGCGCCCTTTACGAATGCACAGCCCCCTCCAAAGGACCCCTTTCCCCGAACAGCCCCGCGCGGCACGCGCGCAGGCGAAGCCTGCGGTCGCATCCGGCGCACCGCCGCACACCGGCCCGAATGGGCATCGCAACCAGGAAGCTCCAGGCGACCGGCCAACGGTGGGCCCCAGCCTCGCACGGCATTCCAAGCCGAACCCGGCAACAATGGCGACGACAGGGCGGACGCCGAGGGCAGAGGCGGCGGACCACGCGAAGCGTCGACGGCGGGTCCCCGCCAAGCCACCCGTCCGGGCCAGCGACGGGCGCGCTGCCAGGAGGGGAGAGACGCCTTTTTCTCCTCGGGCCCAGTGGCACTGCAGTGCCTCTAAGGGAGCGCGTTTGCGCCGCAGGCCAGTGCCGAATGCAACCTGTGCGCTGCAATACGCTGCCAGTGGGCAGCGGTGCTGCCAGTGGGCAGCACGGCACCCCCATCGAGGCCCTGTGTCTCTCACATCCGCCGCTGCCAGACGCTCCAGGTCGTCAGATGCCGTTGCTTCGAGCAAAATCCCCATCCGTTCTCCATCCGCGAAGCAGGAGCAAAACGAGCGCATGACTTCCGCTGAAGCCCACCCGCCTTGGGCCTGGATGACCTCGTCGGCTAAGCCTTTTGACGCCCGCCACCAGCGCGCGCCCCCCTTCCGAAAGGAATGGGCGCCCACGTCGCGATCTCTCATAACCCGAGCAAGGCTTCGCCGGACCGTCTGGCATGACACTGGGCGAAGGTCCGCGCCGCCGGTGACGCAGAACAATGGAACTTCGGGCGCCATGCCGCAGGTAGCGCTGCGCTGCGCGAGCCACCGCCGCGCAAGCAAGGGCGGACACAAAGCTCCCATCACAGAAAGCGCTGGCAACCAGCACAACATCCCTTGGCCGAACGGGTCGTTCTTCTGCCTGCGGACGCGCAGCTGCATGCAACCATCCGCGTCGACCAGGTCACGGAGCTCGAACGCCAGCACCTCTGCCCGACGACGGATACAGAAAAAGGCCACGCCAGCTAGGGCGGCATCCCGCAGGCCCGAAGGGGTTCCAGTGGCCAGCCGGGTCCGCTGGTACAACGTCAGCTCCTGCACGCTCAAGGGTCGCTTGGCCCTGCTGCCCGCATGATCAGCCAACTTCTTTAAGCCGAGCCAAAGGTGCATGGCCCGCGGCGTCCACGAGGCCTCGAACAAGCGCGCGCAGTCGCGTTCGACATGCCACCCGCGCACCGCCGCCTTCGCGGCGGCGACTGTCGTCCATGGGCGCCCCACCAGACCCGCGAACAGCGCCATGACCTTCACGTCAACGTCTGCAGGGAGAAGCTGCAACGCCGCGTCCGCCTCCACGGCGCTCACAGCGCCTCGCAGGATCGCGCCGTAGCGGTCGCGAGTCGACTGTTCCCAGGCTGCGGCAGAACACTGTCGGATAGCCGCGGCAGCATTCGCCCTGGCGTCGAGCTCTAGCGGCCGGCCTGCCGCGGTGGTGAGCAGAGCCAATAAGGCGGCCGGCCCCTTGAGCCCCCTGCCCCCAGGCGCGTCCTGCGACGCCACCGCGCCCGACGCTGCTGGCCGAAGCTCAGGAGCTGGGCCGGAATCGCCGCGCCGCAGCGGCGGCTGCCCTCCCTGTGCGAGCGCCGGGGCACGAACGCCCCTGTGCGCCAGCAGAGCGCGGCCTTCGGGGCCCTGCGCCTTGGCCCGGGTCTCTGGCGGCGCCAGCAAGCCGCCATTGCCCGCCGCCCTGCGCCGGTCCTGCGGTCTGGGAGAAAAACTATTTTTCCCGATCCCATGCACGGGGCCGAAAGGGCTACGGAGAGGAGGAGGAGGAGGAGGAGGAGGAGGAGGAGGAGGAGGAGGAGGAGCAAGGAAGGCGGCGGCGGCGCCGGGGGCAGGAAGCGGCGGCAGCAGGCCCGGCCGTTCGCTTGCCCCCGCTGCTACCCCCTCTCCGCCAGAGACCCAGCATGATCCGAAACATTGCTCGCATTTGCCGTTCGCTTGCCCCTGCTGCTACCCATCTCCGCCAAGGAACCTGCACGATCCCAAACAATGCTCGCACTGTGGGATATTTTCCAGAGACTCTGAGCGAAGCCTGCTTGGCACGTTGAGAATGCGCGACCCCACTGTTGGGGGGCCACGGAAGCACGCGCATGAACATCCGACCACTCGCCTTCGGCACGCAAGCCGTTCCCTCCCCGGGCCCCGGGCAAAGCCCTGGCCCACAGAGGCAGATGAATGAGTGATTGTTTTGGGCGTGGCGCTCGCGCGCGCTGCGCGCGATATGGAAAAATGCATCTAACATGTGGAAGACGCAGGCTGCGCTGCGATCCCGAGACACACGCGCACAGATTACATGCATCTCGGCGGACGGCCGGCCGGGCTGCTGAGCCGGCGGCCAAGTGCGGGCAGTCAGATACCCAAAGGAGGATGCTATCAATGCGCCCGGCCTTCGTGCACTTCGTGCACGGGATGAAGCACGGATTGCCGGCGTCGCGGCACTCCTTCAACGAGTGCCTCACTGCCCCCTTTTTGCTCAGGAGGCAATTCCGGCACATCACGCGCGCGACCTCCATCATCGCCTGCCGGCGCACGTCGTCGAGCTTGAACTTCTCGCCCATCCAGGCCTGGATGCGCGCCGGGGACGCGTGCGAGGCCAGCTTCTCTAGCTCCGCAGTGAGTTTGCTGACCAGCTGCTTCTTGGTGGTCCGGCTGGAGCCCCCCCCGCCCAGAGCGGCCTGCGCCGGCTGGCCGGTCTGGAGCGGCTGCCGCCCCGGCTCGACCGCCCAGGCGGTTTTGGGCGAAGGGCCGCCCGACCCCGAGCCCCCGTCCGCGGCCGCGGGGCGCTTCTGCGGGGCGCCGCGCGCCACGAGAGCTGCCTCGCCCAGCAGGACGTCGACCCCGAAGTCCTTGACCAGGATCTCCGTGTCCAGCGGCGAATTGGCGGACGCCTTGGTGGTCCTCGTCTTGTGCGACTTGATGGCGAAGTAGACAAGGCCCATCAACTCCGCCCGCTGCTCAGCTGCTTTCGCTGGCCCGTCCCTCTTTGCAGCCTGCGCGACCGTGCGCCGCTTCTCCAAAAGTGAATACAAATGGAGAAGGGAACGGGCCAACGCTTTGACCGCGCTGTCCGGCGAGTCAGCCCTCTCCTGTAGAAACACCTGTAGGCGGTCGGATCCCCCCCCGAAGCTGGGCAAGCAAATGGGCTTCCACTTCAACTTGGCCGCGTACTTCAACGCGGCCGCGTTCTTCAAAGCGAGAAGCTCTGGGTTCTGCGGGCGCGCCGCCTGCAGGGCAAGGGCGTTTGCCATGGCCGGGTCTTTTGCGACCGCGTCCGCAGCCTGGGTTGCCGCGCCCGCATCCACGACGAGGCCCCTCCAGGCCGCCGACCACTGAGCCGCGGTGAGGGAGCGGAGCTTGGCCCTGCACGGGTACGCCGCGCCCGCCCTCTGGTCGAACTCCTTCGAGAAGGCGGCCGCGATCTCTCCCGCGGGCAAGAGGGCCTGCGAGACCGCCCGGGTGGAAGCGCTCGCGGCAGACACGTCGACGGCCTGGGCCCCCGCCCGCCCCGCGACGAAGGAGTCGACGATCGCCCGGTAGACTTTGCCTCCCGGCATGCCGGCCTTCTCGATTGCAGTGGCAATCGAATTCTTGACGGCCTCCTCGCCCATGGCCGTGGACTGCGGAAGTAGACTGCGAAACAATCGGAAAGCTTTGCGCGCCGAACAGAAAAGGCACTCGAGCCGCTAGCTACGGAGAGGCACGCCGCGCAAGCAGGAATGGCGGCAACAGCGATCCAGGTTGGATTACGATGATGCGTTTTATCGTTTGCGCTTCCGCTTGTTCGGCTGCCAGGACTGCAGCAGCGAGCATGGCAACTCAGCGCGCGGCCCTCGGCCCCACGAGTCCCCGTGGAGCCACCGAAACAAATCAGACCCGGCTGGCCAAGACCTGACCCGGAACCACCGCCGCAGTAGCGCGGGGCGGAACCAGGGCGCCCGGCTGTCTTCCAGGCAAAGAAGCACGATGCGCATACCAGGGTTTTGGACGAGGTGGGCATTCAAAAACTCCAAGACGGATCGAAGCAAAACTCGCGGCGGATGCGCCCAAACCGCGCGGCCGGTCAGGTCTGCCTCAATGCTGTCCTTTCGGGTGAACGCCAAGAAGGTGCAATGGCATTCCGGCCGCCCCGGCCTGCGAACAGGTCCAGCGTGAACGAGCAGGCGCACCGCGCAACGACGTCTGCCAGAATTGGCGCGCGAATCGATGCCTCGCGGAAGGCATCAGAATTCCAGCGCGAGGCGAACAGAGGATCCCTAGAGCCGACGTCTGCTGTCCGATTGGCCGCGCCGCTCAAGTGGAGCGCCAAGGCCCAACAGGAAGCTGCCCGCTCTGCCCGTTCAAGTCGTTCTGCGAACCGTTCGAGCCGTGGGGCGGCGCCGTAGCGGACATCGACGCAACGTTCAGCCGCCTTGTTGTCCACCCTGAACAGGATGCGCCAGCCACGGAATTCGTCAAGGTTGTCCTCCAGACACTGGCACGCGACCCACAGCTGCCTGTAATTGATGTCGGCGGGCTCCGATAAAACTTCAAAATCAGAGAAGTTGTCAGGCCATGTGCCTGAGACAACCCGCGTGGAGTGGCAGAGGTGGTAGGACCAACATTCGGACGCGGCGGCGTCTGTCTCCACGACGCGGATCTGGCCCGCTCTGGCGAGTGACTCCCATTGTTCATACTCAGGCGACTTGTGGCCCCATTTCGACAGCGAGCCCCCTTGGCCATGCAACACCCGAGTTGGTGGCGATCTGAACGCTTCTACAGCCCACTCGGTGTTTTGTCTGGCTCAATTCGGATGAGGCGGACGAATGGATTAGCCTGAGGTGACCGGCGCCATAGAGCGTACACACCCGCCGAATTTAGATCCGCCCAGATGGGATGAAGCCGGCGGCGCGCCTGCGGATAGAGCTCTGCAATATGAGATGCCAGGCCTACAGCGGAGGCTAGGTCTCTGGCGAGGAGAACTCTGCGGGAGTCCGCCTCCAGAACAGCGATGAGTTGCTGTCTGCAACGATCGCACTTCTCTTGGGCCACTGTGACAACCCCGAGAACGGTATCGAATATCCACCCTATCCAGCTTTGCCGGGCGTCTGGGGGCCTGATGCCAGTGGGCTTCGCGCTCACAGGGACGCCCGCTGTGAGGAAAAAGCCCAGCGTTCGATCAAGCGCTGTCCAGGCCGAAGAGCAACACCGCTCCACCCCGAGTAGATCGTCCACGAAGTCGAGCAACTGCACGCCGCTCCTCTGTACCAAGACGCGCAAGAGTTCTTTGATGGATCGGTCATTGAACCCCGGGGCCAGCGACAGGCCGAAAGGGAGAAACCGGTATCGTCCGAACTGCCGCCTCTCGTGTGAGTAGAACCCGAGGAGGTAAGAATCAGCGTCGCACACCCGCCAATTAAAGAAGCAGTCTTGGAGATCTACGACGTACAAAAAAACGCCTCGGTGCATGCGGCTGATAGCCATGCCGACTGTTCCGCACGAAACCCCGACATGCGGTACACGTTCGTTGACCCGGCCCACTCGCAAATCCAATATCAGCCGAGCCTTCCATCGATCCTGTTCTGGAATCTCTGGGGTTGAACCTGCGCGCTCTTTCAGCAGCAACCCGCAAGGGTTAACGTTGAGGGACGGCGGCCGTGGCGCCCCTGGAAGGAAAAAAGACACTTTGCCCAATTCCTCGAGCCTGCTCCACTCGCGCTCGGCCCACGAGCTGTGAGTTCGCACTGAAGGGTGGTTGGGCGTGTATCGCGCTTCTGCACGCGAAGCTCCCGAGGGCACGCCCTGCTCCCAGAGCCGGATGAACTCGTCATGGGCCCCTGCGGCGGCCAAAAAATCCAAATCCGAAGTGAGCCCAGGGACGCCATTATACCACTGCATGCCGGCATTGCCCCTCTTTACCCTGTCCAGAAGGTCGCGAAGGCGGGCTTCCGTATCGGAGGCCGCCATGCTGGTCTCCAGAAGAGCTCGGGCCGAGACCGCAAGGGACGGGGAGGAAACGAGGCCGGGGGAATTGTGGAGTCGCTGTGGGTTTTAGACGAAAATTTACGATATTTCAGTTTGTTCCTCATCATTATGCTGCTGTTTCCTTTCTCGTTTTCTCTCTCTCTCTCTCTCAATCTCTCCCGCTCCCATTCCCATTCCATTCCCATTCCCAATACCATTACCATTACCATTCCCATCCCAATTCCCATTCACATTACCGTTACCATTACCATTACCTTTACCTTTATCTTTACCTTTACCTGTACCATTACCATTACCATTATCATTGCCATTACAATTGCCAGTGCCATTACCATTGCCATTACAATTGCCATTATCATTGCCATTGCCATTGCCATTGCCATTGCCAGTGCCGTTGCCATTGCCATGGTATTGCCATTGCCAGTAGCCACCCCGTTACCATTACCGTTACCATTACCATTACCATTACCATTACCATTACCATTACCATTCGCCACCACCATTACCATTGCCATTCCCATTACCATTACCAACACAATTGCCATTACCATTACCATTACCGCTGCCATCACCATTACAATTCCCATTCCCATCATCATTGCCATTGCCATTACCGTTACCAGTACCATTTCAATTACCATTGTCATTATCTTTCCCACTACCACTACCATTTCCATTCCCGTTCCCGTTCCAATTACTACTACGATTCCCATTCCCATTCCCATTACCATTACCATTACCATTACCATTACCATGACCATGACCATGACCATTACCATTACCATTGCCATGGCCATTGCTATTGCCATTGCCGTTGCCGTTGCCATTCCCATTACCATTGCCAATCGCTACCCCGTTACCATTGCCATAACCATTACCATTACCGTTATCGTCACCATTACCATTCCCAGTACCATTATCATTACCACTGTCATTGCCATTACCATTGCCATTGCCATTGCCATTCGCCACTACCATTACCATTGCCATTCGCCACTACCATTACCATTACCATTGCCATTGCCATTGCCCTTCGCCACTACCATTACCGTTGCCAGTACCATTACCATTCCGATTAACATTCCCATTCCCAATACCATTACCATTACCATTACCATTACAACTGCCATTGCCATTACCATTACCATTACCTTTACCTTTACATTTACCCTTACCCTTACCATTCCCATTTCCGTTACCACTACCACTGCCATTGTCATGCCCGTTCCCATTCACATTCCCATTCCCGTTCCCATTCCCATTCACATTACCATTGCCATTACCATTACCATTGCCATTGCCATTGCCATGGCCATTACCATTGCCATTGCCATTCCCATTGCCATTGCCATTGCCATTGCCATTACCGTTGCCGTTGTCATTGTCATTGCCATTGCCAGTCGCCACCCCGTTACCACTATCATTACCGTTACCATTACCAGTACCATTACCATTACCTCTGTCATTACCATTACCATTCGCATTGCCATTGCCATTGCCATTAGCCACTACCATTACCATTGCCAGTACCATTTCCATTGCCATTCCCATTCTCATGACCATTACCATTATTACCATTACCATTACCATTATCACTATCATTTCCATTACCATTACCTTTACCTCTACCTTTACCTTTACCCTTACCCTTATCATTCCCATTTCCGTTACCACTACCACTACCATTTCCATTCCCGTTCCCGTTCCCGTTCCTATTCCCATTCACATTCCCATTCCCGTTCCCATTACCATTACCATTGCCATTATCATTACACTTACCATTGCCATTGCCATGGCCATTATCATTGTCATTGCCATTGCCAATCTCATTGCCATTGTCATTACCATTACCGTTGCCATTGTCATTGCCATTGCCAATCGCTACCCCCTTACCATTACCATTACCCTTACCATTACAAGTACCAGTACCATTACCTCTGTCATTACCATTACCATTACCATCACCATTGCCATTGCCATTCGTCACTACCATTACCATTGCCAGTACCATTTCCACTCCCATTCCCATTACCATGATACGACCGCTGTCATTACCATTAGAATTCCCATTCTCCTTACCATTCCCAATACTATTACAATTTCCAGAATCATTACCATTACCATTACCAGTGCCATTACCATGACCACTACCACTATCATTTCCATTCCCGTTCCCGTTCCCATTCCCACTTCCATTCCCATTACCATTACCATTACCATTACCATTACCACTGCCATTGCCAGTACCATTACCATTACTATTACCATTACCTTTAACTCTACCTTTACCTCTGCCCTTACCATTACTATTGCCATGGCCATTACCATTGCCATTGCCATTGCCATTGTCATTGCCATTCCCATTGCCATTGCCATTGCCATTACCATTACCATTACCGTTGCCATTGCCATTGTCATTGCCTCGCTACCCCGTTACCACTATCATTACCGTAACCATTACCAGTACCATTACCAGTACCATTACCATTACCATTGCCATTGCCATTGCCATTGCCATTGCCATTGCCATTGCCATTGCCATTGCCATTCGAGGGTTTCAGTAGGAATCATTCAGTGGAGGGTTTCAGTAGGAATCCACATGTGGAGGATTTCGGTAGGAATCATTCAGTGGAGGGTTTCGATAGGAACCCTTCTGTCGAGGATTTTACTGTGAATCCTTCTTATGGGGGCGTCCAATAGGAATCCTTCTAGGGGGGAGGGCAGATGTGGTCACGTCGCATTCCTTTTTTTTTTCTCCTGGCGCCCCCCCCCCCCCAGAAAAGAAAAACAAAAAAAAAAAAAAATTTTTTAGGTTTTTTTTTCGGGGGGGGGGCGCCTGGAGAAAAAAAAAAAAAAAAAAGCAGAGAGGTAGCAGGAGGGGAGAGGGGGAGGAGGAGGAGGAGGAGGAGGAGGAGGAGGAGGAGGAGGAGGAGGAGGAGGAGGAGGAGGAGGGGGCGGAGGAGGAGGAGGAGGAGGACGACACAGAGCAGAGTTTGCACAGAAACAGTCGCGAACTCAGCGCGAAACCCTCGCGCGCGCGCTTTTGAACCCCTGCGACTCCACAATCCCCCGTTCTCGAGGAAACAACGGTGCGCGCCAATGAAAAAATGTGGATCAATCGCTCGGCCCAGGATGGCCTGAGACACTCTGCACCCTCGGGCGGGCTCCTGGGCGACACACCACGCCTGCACCAGGACGCGCAGAAGGAATCCAGGGAGTCCGTGGCCGGGATGATGGCTGCCAGGAAAAGCGCCCTTTACGAATGCACAGCCCCCTCCAAAGGACCCCACGATCCAACAGGCCCCCAAGTCTGCCTCAGAACAGCCCAGGAGACCCCCAGGAGGGCCTCAAAACAGCATCAGGAGGGCCCCAAGACTGCCCGAGAAGCCCCCCCTAACGAGGGCCCAAGAGACTCCCAACGGGCCCCCTAAGGAGTGCCCCCAGGAGGGGCTCAGGAGGGTAGCCCGAACTGCAACGTCGAGCCATTCCTCTGAAGATAGCCTCCGAGACCGCCAGAAGGTCCCCAAAGAACTCCAAGAACCCCCTTCTGAGGCCCCCCAAGGCCCAAGAGACTTCGGACATACCTCTATGAAGGGGCCCGGCGACACACAGATTCGCCGGCCCAACGGGCCAAGGGCGTGCTAAGATCTCCCGTAACTGGTTGACAATATTCTAGTTCGCGCGCGCGGGGCCGCCCCTGGGGGTCCCGGACGAACAATACCCCGGGAGACCCCCTGGACACCCCCGGGACACTCGGATCACAGATGCCAGACCGGGCAATTTTTCGACACACCTCACGAGGATCGTGGCCTCCGAGGAGAGGGGCGCAATCGACTAGCCCCCCTCCTGACCCAAGAGGTCCACAAGAGCCCCCCAAGAGGCTGCAGGGGCCCCCAAGACGCCGCCAAGGAGCCCCGAGAGACTCCCAAGAGGTCCCCAAGAGGCCCCCAAGAGGCCCTAAAGAGGGCTCCAGGGCCGGCGGAATGAGCGAAGCGATTAAACAAATAGGTACAAATCCCAGGATTCCCCATAGTTTCCCACATTTTCTATGTGACTTTTTCCCTCCTGACTCCTCCTGACTCCAACAGGCCTCCCAAGAGACCCCCCAACAAGCCTCTACGAGTCCGCGGCCTTCCTGAGGCCTGCCTCCAGATTTCCTTTCAGGGTCGGCGGAACCAGCCGCAAGGCCTCTCCTACACTTGTATGTGTGTGTGTGCGCACGCATACGCATACGCACTTGCAATGCAACTCCGTGCCAAATAAAGGAAAAGGGTATGAATCGCCTCGCGCGTTCACTAATGCGTTGTCCCTCTTGTGGGACTTTTCTCTTCCCACTCTTGGAGCAGGGCGAATTGAGATAATGGCGGCTCGAAATTGGTCCCTGGACCCATCCCAGGGTCTAAACGCTCCAATTTTCCGAGCTGCGTCCAGCCGTGGCGACGAGAGGGCCCAACGAAGGCCAACTACCGTTGCCTCAACTCGCCCTCCTCTGACACTCAGGTCCGTGGGGTAAGCGTTTAGCGGGACAGAGAACTTCACCGACAGCAGACTCGCCCAGTTTGAGCGCCGGAGCCCCTTCAGACACCGGAAGGCCAGGAACAGGACCTGCGTCACCATCGCCACGGCCAGCAACAAAATCTCCTGGAGGCCTGTGGCCGCCAGCGGGAAGACGCATCCACAGGTGCACGACGACGCCGTCTCGAACCACGTCAGCGCAAAGAGAGGGCGGTAGTCTTTTGAGCTGACCAGCGCCAGCGTATGGGCTGCCAGGGCCACGCCCAGGACACTCATGAGGATGCAGGTGGTGAAGACCCCGACCCGACTGAGCTTGACAGGGTGGAAGAGGAACGTCAAGCACGCAGATGGCCACCAGACCATGATGAAAAATAGCACCCCCCACGCCAGGAACACTGGAGCCAGTAAGATTGCACAACACCGCCCAAGTCCTTTGAAGCGATGTTTCATCCCGAACCCTCCACCGCTCACCCACCGAAGGAAGTACTGGAACCCACTTAGATAGACCATCCGAGCCAGTCGTGGAAAGTACTTCCGAGTACCTCTCAGGTCTAAGATGTAATTGTTGTTCTTCACGCTCAGCAGCGCCAGATCGTGCGCGACGATGGTAAGCCAAAGAATGGCGCCCAGGTATACGAATCCATGGGAGTAGGTCTCGATGATCGTGGTGCTGCTGACCAGCCCCCCCGGGACGCCGAAAGGGTAGCCGAGTCTCCGCTGTAAGTCCTGGACAGGGATTCTGAGGTCACTGCATGTCGCACTCCCCGACGCGCTCACAGGGCCTCCGTGCACGGCCGATAACAAAAAATGATCTGGCGATGTGATCGCAACTTCAAATCATGATGGAACCCACCGTGACCTCGTGATCAAGCAGGACCGGCCATGCGATCAAGCCAAGCTGACCGGATCGGCGATCCCGAGATCAGCGATCATCGTGGCCGTCCAAAGAGACCATGTGGTCGGCAAGTGCTGGGCGCTGGGCACTCGTGTTCTTCGATGTACTGCGTCTCGTCCAATACCAATTCTTTCCAATCGGCCCAGCTTTCTGTCTCCAGCCAAGACCTGGCGTCGTGGCGGAGTGGCCAGTCGGTCAGACACAACACCGTCTCGCTGGTGGGATTCCCCACGTCCAGGTAGCCAACATCGGCCGCGGTCATGAATCTGTAAACAGCATAACCCACGGCTGCTGGAAACAGGCTCTGGACGAAAACCCTGACGCGTGATGGCCAGAGAGGTGGTGCGCCACAACGCCGCGCCCACATGGTGAAGCCCGAACCGTGTGAAAGCACCCTATGCGCAGAAACACTGCTGCCACTCGAGCCGAGAGGTTTGGGACATACCGAATCTGAGGAGAAAGATGCATAAACATTAACTTTCGGAGCTTCACGCGGATTTATTGGATCGGCGATGGGCATCCCTCCCTGGCGCGCGGGGCGCGCCAAGGGGCGGCGCAGGAGGCGCCGCCAGGGGGGCCCAGCGCAGATCCAAGACATCCGCGCGGAACTTCGAAAGCTCATGTTCATGCAGTTGTTTCTTTTTCGGATATCTCTGAATGGTCAGGAGCCAAGCCCGCAGAGAAAAGCCACCAGGGCTCCAGGACCCCGTCCTGGATCCGTCCCCGGCAGGAGCACAGGGCACATGGAGTGCACGTCGATCGGGAGTTGTCCGAACTCCGCCACTGAGAGCCAGCGGTGCTGGGCGTCATCCCCCTCGCTTCACTTAGACGTGGCTTGTCTAGGCTCGATGCGTGCCCAATGTACTTCACGATGCTGCTTGGACTGTTTCTTCACCATGTATACACAGAGATGCCCGAAGAAGCGGCGTCGGCTCTGTCCATGGGCGGCGGGGCATATGCCCCGAGCACCCGCCTATGCCCCGAGCCCTACGTGTAGGCATTGCTGGTTCGTCACAAGATTGAAAACCAGTACCCGCGGTTGATCCTGGTCGCTGAAGAAATGCGGTACACGTGCTCTTGGGAAAACCAACGAATGTGTGTGTGTGTGTGTGCGTGCGCACGGTTGGAGGGAAGCTCGCACGCGCAGTACAGTGCGATACTGGTACTGGTCGGCATCATCATCGCCATCAGCATCAGCATCAGCATCATCATCATCATCATCATCATCATCATCATCATCATCATCATCATCATCATCATCATCATCATCATCATCAGCATCAGCATCATCATCATCATCAACATCACCATCATCATCACCATCATCATTACCATCATCACCATCACCATGACCATCACCATCACAACCACCACAACCACCATAATCATCAGCATCATCACCACCACCACCATCATCACCATCATCATCAGCATCATCATCAGCATCATCGTCATCATCACCACCATCATCATCAGCATCATCATCAGCAGCAGCATTATCATCAGCATCAGCATCATCAGCATCATCAGCATCATCATCCTCACCATCAACAGCATCGTCGTCATCATCATTGTCATCGGCAAAAAACATAAGCATCATCATCACCATCATCATCAGCCGCAGCCTCACCATCATCATCACCATCATCATCACCATCATCATCATCAGCATCATCATCAGCATCCTCATGCCCATCCTTATCATCAGCAGCATTAGCATCATCGTCATCATCAATAGTAGCCTCATCGTCAACATCAGCATCAGTATCACCATCCTCATCATCATCCTCATCAGTATCATTGTCATCATTATCATCAGCATCATCAGCATCATCGTGATCGTCGTGATCATCATCATCCTCTTCATCATCGACATCACCATTACCATCAGCATCACAATCAGCATCACCATCGTCATCTATACTGGTTTCTGGAGGCCTTTGGGCCCAACCCCCAGTGGGCTGGCAGGCCTTCTGCTGAGGCATCACCACAACATCGAAAGAAGCGTCCGGTACTCTTCCAAAGACGTTTGGACTGTAGTCAACGCGGGGCAGTCCCTATTGCGTGGGTCGGTCTTGTCAACGTTTGCATTCGCTCAGCCTACACGAGGAACAAGATTCCCCAAACAGTGCTGCCACTCAGGGTCTTTTGTCTGTACTTCTAAGGGTAGGGAAACGAGCTCTATACACCGACGTTTTTTCCGACCCTGCCCCGAAAATCGCACAGGAACGCGGATCCTGGTGTATGCGGGATCATGGTGTATACATTTTTCGTCGCTTCCTTTTTGGAAAACTGGGAAAAGTACACACCACACCACTCTGAGGTGGTCCCCGACCCTCAAAAAGTCTTGGGATTGAAAAAACAACCCGCCACTGGTAATCTAGATTTTCCAGTTTCCGAAAGGGTTCCGGTCGAGCGTGCCCAGTTTTCGCCTGGTGCTCGGCTGGCGGGCGCCCGTGGGCGCCTCGTGGGCGCCTCGTGCTGGGCGGGCGTGCCAAAGCTGCGCCGGGCGCCCGCCCGTGGGCGGTCGTGGGCGCCAAACGCGCTGCCCGGGTGTGCCGAGGTTTCGCCCGGGTGCCCGCTGGTGGGTGCCTGGAGTCCCACCAGCCCTCTGGGCGCAGGTGGTCTAACGAGTTCTTTCCTTCCTCGTCCAAGACCCTCTTCCCTTCGGGGAGGGGTACACTCCCCCTCCCCTCCCTGCCCCTCCCCTCCCCCATCCCCCTCCCCTCCCCCTTCCCTGCCTTCGGGGAGGGTCCCCTTTCGCCCATGATGGCTCAAAGAATGACTCCGATGTTGCAAGATGGCCTCCAAGATGACTCAAGATAGCAGAATGTGGCTCAAGATTGTTTCCACCAGGCCCCAAGAAGCCCCAAATACCGTTCCAAGGCGGTTCCAAGTGCTCTCGGAGCCCCCCAAGGACACCCCCAAAAGGCCAACATTCGTCAAACACCTCAGGGACATCAAAGATTTGCGCTGTCCCGCCTGTTCGCTTCAGATGCCCTGTTGAGGCCTCAAGATGGCCCCCAAAATGGCCCAAGATAGCAGGCCCCCCAGACGGCCCCAAGAGCGCTCAAGATCGCCCTGGGGGCGCCTCAAGAAGACCCCAAAGGCGAATGAGAGGGCCCAAGGGGGGGGGGAGGGGAAACTAACTTTAGGACCCACCCTCTGTTGATCGATTGCCTTCGAGATGGCCCTACGACTCCTTCCGGGGCCCCCAAGAAGGTCTCGAGAGAGCTCCAAGATGGCGCCAAGAGGGCCCCAAAGCGCCCCACGAGGACCCCAACAGGACCCAAGGACCCCCAAAAGGAGCCCCAAGAGTGCTCCAAGATGTGATTTACCTCCTCCTTCTCCTCTGGCCCCCCCGCGGGCCCCAGGGTTGGCCCGAAGAGGGCCTCCAAGGCCACGCCCTTGCTCCCAAAGATCTCTCTGTTCATCCTGGTTGCCCGTTTTGTTTCACTATGTGCCTCTTCGTCTCTTTTCCCGTCAGCTCTCCTGGGCAGGACTTCTGAGCGGGCTGGTGGGGGTACTTTTTGGTCTGCGGGCTCGCGAAGCAGGTCGAAAGCCGTCCAAACACTAGCCGGGCCGCGACTAGGCAGCAACAAGAGAGGCAAGCAAAGTGAGCGCGCGGGCAGCCACTCAGAGGAAGAAGGGCCAGAAATAACACTCCCAACTCGGTGGCGTGGAGACCCCAGCGACCATCAAGTAGGCGCAACCAAAATTGCGCGGCGGTGCGACAATGAACACGCAGAGGTCGATCACTCGGTGTGCGTCGGCACAAAGCCCGATGCGAGCAAGACCGACAGGCACAACCGGACGACGTCCGTGCAGTAGGCGACACAACAGCACCGTGTCATCGCAAGAGTGAAGAGGGGCAACCTCGTCACAGACAGGACTGCAAGCGGCAGTACCTCTTGTTTGTAAAGCAGGTGGCACATGTCGAAAGCGAAGTCCATGTACGAGAAAGCAGCCGACGGGCGCACAGAGCCACACATGCCGAAGTCCTCGCACCGAAGAGGACGGCAACGTAGCGAGACACCACTGAACCCAAACGGTCACCAGTGGAGGCCGACACCAGGTAGGAGCAGGCCAGGGGCCACCGTACCGCCGATCCCCAGCGTGACCCTTGCATGGAATTCGTAGCGAGACCTCACGGAACCCCTCCGTTCACCAGTGGAGGCCGACACCAGCCAGGAGCAGGTCAGGGGCCACCTGACCACCCGTGCCCAGCGTGAACCTTGCATGGGATTCAGGCTGTCAGAGCACCAACAGACAGCGGTATTGGCGGCAACCCCAGCCGCGTGGGATAAACCCGGTGAAACGAGGGAGAGGAGGGGAAGTGCACGCCAGGCACGGTAGGCATCCCGTTATGGCAGCTAACCGCTGCGGCATTAGGGGCCACAGAGGGCGACAGCGGGGCCACGAAGGGCATGCATATGGGGGGCCACGACGGGCGCGAGCGAGCGGGGGCCACGAAGGGCACTCGTATACGGGGCCACAAAGGGCGACAGAGGGGCCAATGAGGGCAGCACCGGGGCCACGAAGGGCGACAGCGGGGCTACGAAGGGCATGCGCATGGGGCCACGACGGGCGCGAGCGAGCGGGGGCCACGAAGGGCATATAATGCGGGGCCACAGAGGGCAGCGACGGGGCCATTGAGGGCAGCAACGGGGCCACGAAGGGCAGCGAGCGAAGGCGACCGCGGAACCAGCACGGGCAGCGAGGGGCATCGAAGGCGGGCGAAGGGCAGCGAGCGGCGACTGCAGTCATTAACGGGCTGGTCAAGCGGGCAGGCCCCGACGGGCGGGTCGAGCGGGCGGGCTGTTGAAGCGTGAGTCCTGCTTGAACCGCTAAGCAATATGTAGCGGGAGCGCGATTCCTGAGCGCCGAGGACCGGCATCTGAATAAATTGCGAAGAAATATCAAGCGAAGCGGTTCGGTGACAAATTGCGAGGAAGTCCCAAACGAGAACGCGACTCTGCAAGAAATTTGAAGTAAGTATCAAGCGGGAGCCACGATTCGGCGGTGAATTGCCAGGAAGTCCCACGCGAGAGCGCGAGTCTTCAATAAATTGTGAAGAAATATTAAGCGGGAGCCGCTGTTGTTGTAAACCGGGGGCCAACGGCACAGTTTGATCCTCTACACTTCCCCAAATAAAAAACAAGGTGCCAGCATGGGAGGGGCAATACAATTGAAAAATACAGAACGCACTTGGCGGGGGGGTCAACAATAGTTTTTCTTCAGAAATGAAACTTCAACAACAACAACAACAACAACAACAACAACAACAACAACAACGACAACGACAACGACAACGACAACGACAACGACAACGACAACAACAACAACAACAACCACAACATGTTACCATCATGTGCCACGTCACAGGCATCCCCCTGGATACCACACCCCATCGTTGGGGATGTTTCTGGCATGGGGAGGCCCGACATTCCCCCGCCCAGATCCCCCGCCCAAGAAAATATTGCCGCCACCTCTTCAGAGGAACCTCGACATCCACAGCACGGACGGCACATCGCCGTCGCAATCGCCTCGCGCACAACCCGCATCTCGGAGGAGGAGGAAGAGGACGAGGAGGGGGGGGAAGATGAGGGCGAGGAAAAGGGAGGGGAG